GGGGAGGGGGTTCTCAATGTTGATATAAAAAAATTGATTTGTTTGGCACAGTTAGCAGCTTTGTTTCACTTCTGTTGTCTTTAAGTGATAGCAGACTCTCAATTTTTAGTTATGATCAATTAATAGGAAGCTGTTTGCTTGAACTTGTACTGATGCACTTCTTAGACTTGTTTATCTGTTTGTTGCCCATACTTTCACATCCAAGAATTATTTAGAGACAGCCACCTGTGGAACTGAGTGTTCTATCTACCTCCTTGCTTAGACAACTCAAAGTAAAAAAAAAAAAAACCTACAATGAGATAGATACAGTATATTAAAAATGTAAGTTGGCAGAAAAGACACAGAAAGAGCATTTATCCTGTCACCATCTTGGGAAAAAAAAATACTGGACTGATGCTCAGGAGTAGCATTAGAGTGGCTGGAGTGACCTAGGCAAGGATCATGGACTTGGAAGATTCTTACGTGTTAGAATTTTGGAAGACAGTTATAAACTGGACTTTCATATTGGGTTGCCATTGTCAATGTTCTTCTCTCTCAGTGATTCTACCAGCTCCAGCTATCCTTTGAACTGTTTGTAAAGTATTCCACAAAACTGCCAATAAATACCCTTGAGATTGTATATCAGTACATGCCAGCTTTGCAGTGCATACAGAACTTCAGGTTCTCCTTAAGTAACGAAATGGATGATGAAGAGAAAGGTGGGTTAGAAGTTCTTTTACCTGAGCTTCCATAAGTGATGTCACAAGTGTCATGACCTTATTTAAATGACATAAACTACATTTAGTAATTGGTGTCATTGCATAATAATGCCATGATGCATGTGACAAAATAGGGAAAGGAATTATTAGGGGACAAGGGCCGTAAACAAAAACTGCCCCTAGAAATTACAGACAATTAGTGAATATTTAAATGCCAATATGGTGTACTTAAGCTGTATGACTGGCAGAAGGAAGGTCAAAGTTCTAGTCCATCTTTAGCCACAGAGGTTCGCTGGGTAACTTTGAACCGTTCATTCTCTCTCAACCCAACTTCTTTCACTGGATTATTGTTGCACGGAAAAATTGGAGGAAGACACATTATATCCAACATTTTAAACTCCTGTATGAAAGGAAGGATGCAAGTCTAACAAATTAATATTTCATATCTTTCCATTCTATTATTGCAGAATTTATGAAAAACATCATGATTTTCAGCCTGTAAATGAAATGCTATATACAAAATGTTACAGTTTAGATTTTGTAATTAAATTTGATCCTTATACATGTGGCCTCCCAGATATTGTTGCTAATAGCCAACATAACCAATAGTGATAGATTAGTGGGATTTGGCGATCGACTATATCTAAAAGTGCAGAGATTCTTGTTCCTTGACATATCCTTCAGATTACCTTCTTTTCTGTTGCTCATGTGCAGCCTTGACATGTTTTCAAAACTTTACCTCCCGGCTTGATACCAGAGTGGTCTGACACAACAGGAACAGTAATTGTTTTCTTGAAAAGAAGCTAGCTTGAAGTGCTAGTAGAATGTTACACTTGGAACAGGAATTAAATAATGTCTTATCTGAAGACAAAGTTTTTGGCAATATGGTTATAATTTCATAAACTGGAATGTAGCAACTTTATAAAAGCAGTAAGAATTAATTATGTTTATTCCTAAATATGGTTTCCATAAATAATTCAGTTCAGCCTTATAACATCCCATCGAGAGAGCTAAGTTTGTCCATATCTTACAGAATGAGAAGCTAGTTTGATGGAGAAAAACACTATTGGGCTTTTAAAGAAAAACAGCTATTATCATATCCAGGTCAGGTACAGCAATAAAACTATTAGAATGTTTCCAGATACATAGGCAAGGATTTTCATCCAACACATAAAAACAATACACATTTTCCCATTTTTGTAAAAGACAAGTGGGAAGAGATAGATATTCTCTTTAAAAGCTCTGAATTCTAATCACAATTCTAGACCAGTGAGGAAGGAAGATAATTTTCATGCTTATTATTTATATACATATATCCTACCTTTCTCAAGGATGGTTAATGTAGTACATATACATGGATACCCTCACTGTTATTCTTGGAACAGCCCTGAGATATCAGTTAGATTGAGAAATCATAATTAGCCCGATTATTGCCACTGAGTTCCAAATTGTATTACAATTCAAGTATAACTCAGTGCAAGAAGTTGTAAACCAATGGTACCACTAAACAGGAGTACATTCTTAAATAATTTGTTTGGGCTGCATGGCAGGAAGGAGGAACTTAGTAAAGGTGTGGAGAGATCCAGAAGTGTATGCAGACAGTCCTTTTCTTTCTGATATCCCATTCATTCATTCATGGTCAAAGACTAAAATAAAAGCAATATTATATTATAAGTCCAGAAAACAAGATGAGAAATTAATATATGAGGAGGGCATTAAATGCTGGTGATCTACATAAGTCATAAGTGACCAGACCATCTAAACGGAAATTAATTCAAACTCATGTTTCCGATGGCAATTGCAACTGAATAGAATTTGGTAGATTTCATATAAATCTCTGTAGATCAATCCATTAGTAGAAAGTTCACAATGTTCATTTCAGGGCAATCCATGCATTTAGTAAGGAGAGGGAGAATATTAACTTGGGACACCAAGAAAGAAGAAGCACATTATTTTACCTAGCAAGAGAGGTACCTTGATCATGAAGATGGTTTTCCCAAGGTGAGGCCATTGCCCTTGGGATGTTCTGATTCCTGTAATTTTCCCTTTGCTGACATGCTTTTTTCTTCTCCAAGGAGCAGCTGCAGGAAAGGGACAGAAAAATATTGAAAATAGGTCAAAGCCTGCAGGAAATTGCCCAGTGTCCCAACCCTATCTAACACAAATTTGAAATTAATACTTAATGAGGCCTTAAACATTCATTTAATAAGGGAACTTCCCATTGCAAGTAGACTTTAAATGAACTAAGGAAAAAAGTAAGTCTACTTGCTTCTATTTTTATAACGAACTTCAGGTTTTAATTTTTCTGTGGTTCATGCATAGATAATCCTTCCCATTTATTTTTTTGCTTGTTTGCAAACAGGAAGAAATCAAATAAAATCAGATCAAATCATGTTTATTAGTCATGGTTTCCATAAAATCAGAGACATTTTGGAGTCTTCCGCACAGATTGTATAGCATTAGATTATCAGTTCTAATATGTAACTATTATAACACTAACATCTGTATCTAAAGCTTACAGATCTGAATGGACACCTGGATTTTTCCATTTTTTCCATTGTGGTAAACTTATTGAAATATTGTGAACATACAATATACTGTTTTCTGTGCACAGTGAAGCATGATTTATTGGAATAATGGGCTATCCATAGCTGGTAGTTTAGTGTTAGAGATATTACTCTTAAGGGTAAATAGATTGCATAAAGAATGCATTTCAAGGAAGACAAAGTATACCGCATGTTGTTAAATTGCCTCATTAATACAGGATTGTTCTCCAATCTAGCATAGCCATGAAATAGATTGTATAATATAAGTTAATTTGTGTAATGGTGCTATAGAGAACATAGCGCTCTATTCCAGAAGTACATAGAAGACCACAAAGTGAAAGTCAATACATACAAAACTGGATAAAGTATCCAAAAATAAACTTGGAGGGCAAATCAGAGATTATGATAGTGTTAGGGAAAAGAGTTAAGAAACTGGGAAAGCAAAAGTATGAGTGGTTCATGGTTCTTATTTTCAATTTCAAATACAATAGTCAAAGTGAGATTTGTAAATTTCACCCATCTGTGTTAATACAATCAAAACAAATTAAGAACCTGAACTGTATCTCACTTTTGCTTTGTTTCTCCACTTGATCTTTATACTATCATAGTGTACCATAGCATTCACTGTTCTTTGATTTCCCCAATGGACATCAGTTCACATTGCAACCATCTGATACAGATATGACTCAATTAGGATGGACACAGTGTTTCTAATATGCAGAGGCAGAGTGAATTTAAGGGAATGTGAGCAAAGGCCTTCTGGCGCTTCCCATGACTACTTTCCTTTCTGCTTTAATTTCATGGCTGACATGATAGACTCTTACAGTCTAACCCACTGTGTTTCAAACTTGGCAACTTTAGGAAGTGTGGACTTTTACCCACATGGTAAAAAAAGTCTTCCTTTGATTTATACATGTTAGTTTGCAAGGCATTGCATACTTACCACAAAGACAACAAACAAAAGCATGTGGTAGAAATACATAGAAGTCCTTAGAGCATGTTCAAACTCAGTGGGCTCTCTCAAGGTCACATAATACCAATGTCACTGTGGAAAAGTTCCTGATGGTGTTTTACAGTTTTATTCCATTTTATTTCATTGCAATACTACCAATGTGTTTTTATTTTGCTTATAAGCAGTTTCTTGCTATTAAAAACAACCATCTTAAAACCAGTTTTGCTGCTACCACAATAAACATAGATTGAATATTAAGGCAGACACATCTTAAAACAACTGCAGACAGGTGTATGGCTAGTCTGATAAAATCTGCACAGGTTCCTTCTCCATCTTCTCAACATTTCAATTTGAATTTGTCCTAAGTTACTTTGATTTAGAAAACTGACCCAAATTCCTTAATTCCTTTGTGTATGCTTCTGTGTGCATATTGTTTGTTTTGTAATACTCTTGGGCTGAATATTCACAGGATGAAGTCTAAAGACAATATTATTTCCATTTATTAATTTTATAGGCAGTTATCTTAAGCAAGACTATTAAAAATCCTTAAGCAGTGATAATGCATTGCGATAAAGCATAAATATACTTTGGTGCTAGTCTCCAGTGTTTAAATACAAAGAAATAATAGTCTTTTCAATGTAATGAGCTGTATACCAACATTACAAATTTAGAAAATTTCGTTTGTACATTATCAGACTTTGATCTAAATATACACTGTGTTGTATCTTTACAAAAATATCATTTGGTTGCAAATCAAACTAAACACAATAAATGAATTCATCGTTTATATATTTTATATCACAGGGGTATTATTTTATTTGAAGATAGAACCTACATTTTGGAGCCACTGGAAGGTGCTATGAATGAACATATAATCTACAGACTAAAGCACCCAAAACTAATCCTGGGTACATGTGGCCATCATCTCAATATTACAGGTGTCACTTTGGGGGATACTGCACAGCTTATTCAGACATTTACTAGCAGAGTAAGTGACAAATTTAGTTTTCTCTATGTTTTTATAGTATTTATTTAGACAAATGTGGTATTATGGCTCAAAATTGAGTGCCAGCTGATAAAAGTGTATTTGTTTGTTCATTCATTCATTCATTTATTCTTACAATTTGTAGGAGTCTGACTCCCAAGAACTCTGAGTGCCTTAAAATGTAAAAAGTAAAAAAAAAAAAATTTAAAAAGACAAAACAAAAACATGAATGGCTCCAAAAACAATATGTAAACAAAAAATAAACAAATAAACACAAGCAGCTCAACCTTAACTGTGCCCCAGAGCCTATAACACAGGTGTAATACATGAGAAAAACAGAAGATTGGGCAAAGCCAATACATTTGATTGTTGTAAAAGGATAACTGCCCACAGATTTATTGACCTATGTTAATAATTAATCTTATGCATGTTTTTGTTAACTCTTAAAATCAATGAATTCCTAATTCATTAAACCTTCTTGGAAATGTTAGCCAAGGAGCCAGATATATATACTTATAATTTAAGTTTCATAACTTAACTTCCTAAATGCATAAGAGAATAGTTTTACCATCTCTGTTTGTTTCTCTTTCTTCATGAGCTGAATTTGTGTTGATTCCAAGCAGTTAGATAACCACATGGAAGTATTACTAGATTTCTGCCCATTACATTTTATCATAACAAACTTCTGCATTTAGAAAACTTTCCGAGTTTTTTTAAAGACATAACTAGATTAAAGTAGCTGTTCTTATCTTTCTCTGAATTGAATAAATTATTTTTTATTTTTTTCTCTCATCTGTTTTGATGGGGTGTTTCTGATGAGCTATTTGAAATATAATTTTGAGAAAATGTTAGCAAAATTTCATTCTGAAGATAAAATATTCCAAAACTGGTTACTTCCTAAATCTTTGCTTGTGCATATTGTGCAGGTCTTAGAGCACCATATGTCGCCAGGGAAACATGAGCTGTATCCAGATGTTTGCCTGGAGTTCTACAGCCCACCAGAGTTTCTATCTCAGCCTCATGCTTGAGATACCTGTACATTCCTTCATTCAACTGACTAAGATCCTCTATATACATGAATGGAAAGAGTTTTCTCCAAGCTAGGAAACTTCAGGGTATCAGAGCAGTATATTTCAAAATAAATTCTGGCAGATGAAGAAAAACAAAAGGAGAACATTTAACAATATCACAAATAATTTGAGCAATTTGAGAATGTGAATATTCATTTCCATAGTGGCTGCTCAAGCAGCTTCACTTCCATTTTAAATAGCAGTTTAATTTTGTTGAATTAAGTATATCTGTGGAGGAGGGGATAATTTCCCCCTAAAATTATATTTAAAAAAATCATCTCCCAGTGTCACCATGCCTCCTCACTTCACATACACACTTTTATGATGGACTGACAATATCATGGAATAGTATGGGATATTCAGATAAGCATTTACTGTTGTCATAATAATACAGGATCAGACCCCTCATTTACAAAAATAAAAGCTGGCCTGCTCTGTATTTGGTGTGGTGCCAAGAGTAAGTATTTTCTATAAGTGATGAATAGTGATGAATAAACTGATGTCTTTTAGCAAAGCACACTTTCCCTTCTTACATCTTTGGTAAAGATTCCAAGTTTAGTATAACCGATTGAGGTGATTTGGAAATCATCATTTTAGAACAAGAAATCAAAATTGGATTGCTGTAGTCATTTGCAATAGGAACTACATTTTTAACATTCACAACAATATACACTATTAAATTTGATACAATAAAGGCTTCAAGTGATACATAATGCATATTGTTAAAAGTTCATTCCTAATTTTTTTTTAAAATGCTGGAAAATAGGTCATGCCTAACTATATAATCAGAATATATAATACTTCCCATTGTAACTGAGTGTGTGTATATATCTCAAAATAAAGGATCTGATATGAATTTGTGTCAATATCTGTTTCCCATTTGGGGGGTTGTTTAAGGCATGTAAATGTATCCCTTTTACACATTTAATGCGTGCTCTGTTTATAAGACTGTGAAGAGCAGGCTGCTTAGCAAAATTGCAGGTACCTGTGCTGCCTTCTTCCCCTCCCAGCTGAGTCTTTTCCCCAGCGGCGGCAGCACAGCAGAGCTGTCAATAAAGCTGCAACCTGGAGACAGGTGTGGGGGAGATGGAAGGAGATGTGTGCTTTAGAGCTCTGCAGCCCCTGGCAAACACAATACAGCAGTCAAACGGAGAAAGGTGTTTGCTTTCAAACACCAATCCAAAAGAGAGGGAAAGAAGTATAGAGGCCCAACAAGACAAAGCACAATGTAAAAAAGGTGTAAGGGCTCTGCAGGCTGGCCTTTAACCAAAAAGGAAGAAGAAATCTCAGAGAGAGGGCACTTAAGACAGAACAGGCTTAAGAAAGAAATGATGCATACCAGTCGTAGTATAGGGCGCTGTGTATAGGAAGTGGTAAGAGGAATTGAATAGTAATAGTACAGAGTATAGTATAAGCATTGTAATAGTAATTGAAGAGTAATAGTATATTGTAATAGTGATTATCATAGTAATAGTATAGAGATAGCAATAGAATATAGGAATTCTCACATATTATTTTTATGTTTGTTTTTACAAAATAAAACATCTCCTTAGAGGGAGATATAAGGTATAGAAACCACCTGTCCTGGGTCCAGTGCTTTTGTGTCTCTCCTGAGTCTGGATCAATCCAATTGGGTACACTTTAAAAAAAAAACCTCTGACAAAGACACCTCAGTAACTGAGAACACGTCTGAATATAACAAGTGAATAAGCCACTGACGATGCTTTGTAAAGCAGATGCCATTTGTGCATAAAATGAAGTCTAAGAGTGAGTTGTTAGAATTCACGGAGATGTTTCATGTTTAGAGTGTGATATGGCTGACATGGTTGTTATATCAGCCTTTTATACTATAGAATGACATGAGGTGACATGTTAATTTGGAAAATATTGCATCTTGTACTGAAATACAAGTGAGTAATGCATCCAGGATGTGGTACTTGAAATAAACTGATGCTTATTGAAGCTAAGGAAAGTTTTATCTTCCTCGTATCTAGATGAGAGTCCACTATGGAACAATTGGTCAATTTTTCTATCTATAGACTATTCATAATATTTAAGTTGCTTGATATTATAGCACTGTGGTAGAGAGACATACCTAGAAATGTAGATCTCCTTAAAATAATAACAGCTCTTATCTGATGCTTGTTTTGATAGCACAAAAGAGAAACTCTGAAGTCCACCAAGTATGTGGAGCTCATTATTGTGGCTGATAATCGTGAGGTAAGCAAAACCTAAAGTTAAAATGATTGCGGGTGTAAAGAAATACCTATATTTATAAATTAATGGAATAATAGGAATAAGGGTAACCTATGCTGTATCTTCCACATAATGATGAGAAAACATTCTGTCCCGTTTGGATACTTAAATCTTTGCCGCGTTATTTAACTTTGAACCAGAAGGAATGGAAACGTCTTGTACAAATAAGAAAAAATGTGTGGTATTGGTTCTTTAGATGTAGTTTACCAGTTATAAGTTATATTCAAGGTTGCATAAATTGCTGAGTTTTTGCAAGAGATTCATAATCAATGGATAAGACACTGTGCACTTCACCAGCTTCAACTAATTTTGACAATCAAAAACAAAATATCTTAATTTGCAGTATTTTCCCATTTGCATTTTTCCACATTTCAAAATTACTGACTAGTTAAATAGAAATATTGTCCCCCTGTCCACCCATGGCAAACAGACAGCTAAATGAAATCTTTCCTTTTGTACACCATGAAGTGTCCCAATGAGACAACTGTGTGAGAAAGAGGATTAAAAACAACATTTTGTTCAAATTTGAAAAACTATATTCTTTCACACAATCTGTGCTTGTTTTCAGATCTGTAAGAATTCTATTGTAAGCAGTGGGAGGTTGCCTCTGGCCTATTTTTCATGTAAAACCTAGATGTTGGTGTTACTGTTTTTCTGAAGAAGGCGAGTTACACTTAGAGAATAATAAATATAACTGTTGATAATTCAGTATTATTTAAAGATCATTTCTAGTTTCAGAGACAAGGCAAGGATGTGGAAAAAGTGAAACTGAGGCTGATAGAAATTGCAAACTATGTTGATAGGGTAAGTTTTTGATTGCTACTATAACTTCCTTTGCTATAAAGTAGTCTGCTTCTGAAATCTAGGCGATCAGGTCTTATCTTACTGAAGTCAGGTCATATTAAGACACTTGTATGTAGAAAATCTGTACTACATAAGAATGCAAAAGCATGAGAATAGCCCTCCTGGATCAGGTCATGACCAATCTTAATCTAGCATTCCCCCCCCCCCACTGGCCAACATGATACCTCTAGGTACTCACAAGCAGAAGTTGTAGGTGTACCTCACTTCTATCAGTCTTCTTCTGAAACTGGTATTCAGAAGCATTCTTTGCCCAACCCAGAGACAGTAGCAATGGTAATTTATGATACACTTGACATAATTTCAAGGTATTCTCCTATATATGTACTATTTAAATAATGAAATTAAATAAATCAATGCGATTGTTGTCTCTTATAATCTAGTTATCTGTGCAATGAGGCATGTACACTGAATTTAGACACATAGATCTTAATCAAATGGTACGTCCTTGTATGCCATCTAGGATTTTAGAGGGCATAATCTTTACATCTAAGAGAAGAAATTGAGAGGGATGTTGTCCAATGCATTATATAACATGCCTACTATCTATATGTCTATATTTTGCTCTCTTTTATTAATTTAAGGAATTATGCAAATATAATCCACGATACTGATCTGGTTTTCTCATCAGTTCTATAGGCCACTAAATATTAGAATAGTCTTGGTTGGATTAGAGGTCTGGAATGATATGGATAAGTGCACAATAACTCAAGATCCCTTCACCACTCTTCATGAGTTTCTGGACTGGCGAAAGATGAAACTACTACCTCGTAAGCCACATGATAATGCACAACTAGTGAGGTAAGCCTATCAACACAAGAATTTGGACACTAAGAATTTTAGATATCCTTATATAGTTTTTTTCCCCCGTATTCATTATTTTTAACATAGTTTCTTGTCTTCCATTAGTGGAGTCTATTTCCAAGGTACTACCATTGGCATGGCACCTATAATGAGCATGTGCACCGTAGAGCAGTCTGGAGGTATCGTCATGGTAAGCACTATAGGTACCAAGATTGATCCTATGTATGGCTGGGAAACAAACAAGCAGGAACAACATAACAATCTTGAATCTGTCTTCAAAATCTGTGTGTGTTTTTTTCAGATTTGTGCAGCTATTATTTGAATTTACAAATGATTAAATAAATACTTTCATTTTGGTATTTTATTTTTACTTTCTACTGGAGTGTTCCACCAAAACCAAAACAGCCTCATAAATTAAAAATGTACTATCTGTGTTTAATACAAAAGTCCTCCCAAAATATTCATGAGACATGATATAATTGGGTATCATCAGCTCATTGGAAGGACTGATAATGAAGCTCAAGCTCAGATACTTTGGTCACCTAATGCGAAGAGAGGAGTCTTTGG